TTGCCATCACTATCATCACCTCATTTATCATTAGTACGATACATAAGCCGACGAAATAATTTTCGACGAAATGAACTGTCGACAAAATGATTTTCGACGAAGTAAACGGGACCGCTATTTTCCGCATATAACAAAGTATGGTTTCTCTTTTCTGTTTAAACTCTAATCTCATATTAACTAACAAATACAATATAAACGCTATTATATATCCCATTTCCTATAATTGTAGGTATTTATTTATGCATCAGAAAGTAGATGTTTGTTATGTGAGATAGAATGAAGTTGTAATAAACTTTATACAAAAATTCCACATCCAACACTTTTAAAATTTATTTAAATTTCTTAACATGTCAAAAATTCTCGAATATCTTTGCAGAAAAGGTATTCTTTTTTTCAATTGTAAAATAATTAAATTAACTATACTTTAGATAACCACTTTCACAAACTGTAGTGAATGAAACAGCAGTAGAAAAGGTAGCTAGAAAATGCAATACAGGTAGGCAGGATAATGGCTAATATTCCTGATGCTATAGTATAAATGTTGGAAGCAATTATCGAGTAGTATTTAGTGCCTTCAGCTCTTTCTGCTGTACTTCAAGATGATGAAATTGCTACCACTGTTCTTTATGCTGCGAAAAAAATTATGAGAGTCGATGATCCAGCGATTGTCATCCAATGGAACGATATGGGATTTAATGATGTCGCTACTATGCCTGGATGTCGAAATGGTGTTCCAGGCCAAACGAAAACAGCTGTCATTGCATTTATTACAACAAATGGAGGAGCAAATGTCAATAATCTCAACTCGGCATTTGTATTTAATGTTTGTAGAATACTTACAAGTTATGAGAATAGATTTCCCCCATGAAAAAATTTTATTTCGTGTATTTGAATCACTTAACATCAGCTATCTAATTTTTTTCATGGTTTTTTTCCCTTTTCTTATAAAGGACTCGCCATCAGCCTGGAATTCCGGGTATATGCCATTCAGCTTGTAGAATCAACAAACTGACACAGTCAGACGCACTTGGTTGGGAAGGTTTCGAGTTTGCATTTAATCGATGTGTTTATATAAATTGTTTAAAATAAAGTGATCACACATAATTAAAAAATTTATTATTCTCTTTTACTTAATCTCATAAAAATAATTAAGGATTATACTCGCTGATATGAAATGATAAAAAAAGAGTTCAAATTCTAATCACATAATAAAAAGAATCAAATTTCTACGTTGCTAATTATCATTATGTAAAACGGTAGTAAATAATATTGAGCATGGAATTTCTTTGTGACATAATGTTCACTTTGTCTGCTGGTTTGCTGCAGTACGCTCCACATATACTAAAAAGAATGGCAAATTAAAAGAATACGATCATTGTGAATTTCGAAAAGGTGAATATGATCAATGCTGATAGGAAACATTGGGTACCAAAATATGATGTAAAATTAAAACAAGTAATTGGAAGAAAGACAAATCAGAGAATAAGGTTCCGAACAGATCATGAAAAAAATTGGATTCGAATCAAACAAGATTTTCAAATTGATATTATATTTTAAAAAAAGAAAAATTCAGTCAAACTCATTTCAACAAATTTCTGTCCCGTAAAAAATTATGTACAGTATTGATACTGAATGGATGCGTCAGAATGAATATTAATATGGAAAAACCATATTAATACAGAGAATGCATTAGGAAAATTCTAATACTCTCCCGAAATAATATCTCAAAATATTGCTGTGCAAAGTAGATATGGTTTTCTAAGTCAAAGATGATGATTTACATAATGACATAGGAGTGGTCAAAATTGCTTTTTTTTCACGTTATGGTCCTTTTTTTTTTCTATTGTCCAAGCTCCTTCTTTACATGAGCATTTTAATATTGAAAACATCAACTGCTACTGTTTCCGTATGTTTAGGTACAGAATATTTCGCATGTGTCCACTCACTATCAATTGCGTTTCAACGAATTCTAATTCTTATTATAATTCATTCATTATTTATGTGTATATCGATCTGAATCAAATCAAAGTGAATAATCATGTTAATTTATTTAAAAAGAATTTTATTATATTTTAAAAGCCAATATTTTTTAAAGTCTGTTCAATCTTTATAATTCTTCTTTTCTATAACCGTCTACCTTCTTTGTAATTTGAGCTTTTGTATTAAAAATCTTCTGACCAATTTGGTCTTTTGCATCAACAATCTTTTTGACTTTTTCACCAAGTCCTTTAAATCTATCTCTTAATAATGTGAATGTATGCATTGATTTTGATTTTATATATTTTCAGTAATATCTTTGACGCTTTTGGTATTTTTGAATGATTCTCCCTTGTTTATTTTTTGGTGATTCAGCTAAAATCTCAACCTGTTCATTTGTCAATTGTGTGTAAAAGAAACTTGTTAGATTAGCATTAGTCAAGGCTAGGATGAAAATCATCTCCATATATGGTGACCTCAAAAAATTTTTTTGAAAATGCAGATCGGCTTTTTTTTATTTGTTTTATTTGTGGAAAAAAATCATGTCAATGCGTAAAAAAATGAAAGTTGAAATCTCACGTCATCCTAGCAATATTATTAATACAAGAAATACAAGACATACAAGAAATACAAGAAGTAACAGCAAAGGCAAAAGCAATAGCTATTGCGAGGATAATGAAATCAATAGTAGTAGCGTTGCTAGTAGTGGAAGTGGAAGCGATACCTGCAAGTCTATTAGTCATGCACTGAAGAAAAACAAGTGTGTAGTGGTGATTGAAAGAAATGACGAGGTGATAAGAGAAGCAAAAAGACAAAGAACAAAGAATATTATGATGGGAAATAATAATTTAATCTATAACTCCAATAATGCTAACGATGATAAAAATAATCATTCTATCAAAGAATATGGATTTTCTTCGAAAAATTTTGCTGATAAAAACCTATCATCAGTACGAAAATCATTTGACAGTTCATTGGAGAGAACTAATAAAAAACAGAAACTACAGGAAGAAAAAGAAAAAGAAGAAGAAAATGTAAGAATAAAAGTAAAGGGGAAAAAGGTAGAGGAAATCAATGAGAAAGACAAGTCAATAAACAATTCATCATTGATAACATCATCTATTACCACAAAAACAAAATCACCAAATATTGAGGAGGGACAATTTGATATTTTGTCATTGGTGCCAACAAACGTTATTCCATGTATTAATCTTAATGATTTAGCATTTAAAAATGGAGTTATGGATGAAAGGCGTAAATGTATTAAAAGATCAAAGATTTTTCCATTATCAAGATGATCATAATAATGCAACAACAAAATTATTCTAAACTACACGAGGTATTAAAATTAAAATATTGGCAAGTGTCAAGTTATTATTTTTACTGTTAATAGTAATATTCTTAATAAAAATGACTATTTTAAATCATATTAAAGTTCAATTTGTTTTATTAAAGAGAATAATATTCTAAGCTATAATAAGACCTTCATCATCTTTAAATATTTGAAATAGCAATCCATTTCGTGCATGACACATATTCGAATGATAATTTTTTATCATCAAGTTTCCTCAAAGTATCTTCTTCTCGCATGCATCAATTAAAATATCTAAAGTTTTTTTGTACGGAATTTCCATCAATGCTGAAAATAATATTAATGAATCTTGATTTTGATCAACATATGCTAGTAGTAGGTAGTAGTTGTTGGTTTGATCTATAAAATACAGCAAATTTTGCTCCAAGTCCATTATCATTGAATTTTATGTAAATATTTCTGATTCTTGATGAATTGTATTGTGTACTTGTCACTATCAAATGAGGGTGACAATGAAGAAGAAGGTGGAGATTGATGTACTATTTGGAAATCTTGACTGTTTGAGTTTTTCGATTATAATCATCATCTTCATTATTGTTGTTGGTATTGTTATTGCCATTTAAATTTTATTCCATTGTATTCATTGTATCAACTATTATTATATCAGATGATCCATATACACATACATATTACACACATACATTTATATTTATTTATATTAATTATTAATCAAAAAGATATAAACTCTTTATATTGTACCTGAAAGTATTGATTCTTTTACTTCTTGGAAATTATTTGTGGCAACAACTTTAGAATATCAATTTATGTCTTTATCACAAAAGAAAATGTCACTTTAGCACAATTCACTCGAAAAAAATACAAATTAAAGATAAATCAATCCATTCATGTGACTACCATTTTAAATTTTAGGGAGGCGCAAACAACTGAACTAATTCGAGTTCCCGAAATCCTTCTAAAAAAAAGAAAAGAAAAACAGCAGAAAAGTTGCCTTCTTTATCAATTATAAACAATGTTAAACATAATATAAGAATCAAAACATTATCGTCGTGTAATGTTTAAACGAGCAAGGCAACATGTTAAATAATATCACATTTGTGAACGTCAAAAGATTCGTATGCATCTATATCAAAGTTATTATTTATTACAATGAATTATTTTTTTTAAATTATATTAATTGATTTCTGTTATATATTAGCATAAAAACTATCATTTTTCGTTTAAATCGAATTAATAAAAATCCATATTAATATGCTACGTACAGTGATAGTAAGTATACGATAATAATTGTTAATTAATTATTTTTTTATCTGTTTGCAACTTATTTATAAACGTGGATTTGCCAAAATTGTATTAATTAGTCAATAGAGTTTTTTCCTAGTTTAAAAAAGCAAATAATTTCTTTGGGCTTTCAAGTCATCAATCCTAATGGTAGATGAATTGGTTAAAAGAAAGTTTGGTCATTGTAATATTTTTAAATTTGGTAATTGTGGAGAACAAATAAATGATTTAATTCTAAAATAAAATCATAGATAAAGAATTTGTTCATACCATTATAACATACTGCAAACAAAATGAACATTATTATTATGTCACGAAATCATGATTTTTTATTAAGCATTTTTTTAATTTCTTTGAACATTAAAGATGGCCCAGATTAATCATCAATATATAAAAATGACAACAACACAAGGATTCTTGGCCAATGGTTGAAACAAAGAATCTATCCACCAACAGAAGAAAAATCATCGAATACTTACAATTATCTTTCCTCAACTAATAATTGTAACAATATTAATGTGTGACATGGCATCAATTCTTGTTATGTTCGGCTGAATTCATCTTCAAACTACAGAAAATGATTTTCTCGATATGACTTTACAAATATTTTGGTCAAATTAAATTAATTACGTCTATATAATTTATTTATATTTTTAAAAAATCATGGTAATAAGTAAAAAACTATGAATATGAATTGGTCGACCAAATGTCAATGGATTGAATTCAAAAGTATAAACTATCAGTTGTTAATAAATAATATATTGTAAATTAAGTTCAGCAACAAAACCAACCAATAGTTATAAAAAGGATTATCTCGAAAGACATGAACATAGTAAATTTAGGCAGGGTCAGAAGAAAATTCCTGATGTAATCACAACTATAACATTAAGAAAATAGTAGCTACAGTAGCAATTCCAGATAGTAATTATAATGAAATTTTGCAAAAGTTACAATAATTCAATTCAAAGTTATTCATTTCCTCCTTTGCTTCCTCTTAATTCGAAATTCTTCTTTTTCTCCTATTGATGATAACTTTAAAACCTCAAATATCGACAAGATCGAAAACACCATGATATCAGTAATGATAATGATAACCAAATTATAAGAATAAGGAAAACTCACTGTAAAAATGTGTGTTGCAGGGATTTATTATCATTGTATGTACATTGCAATGGTGCAAGAAGAATAATTATTGTGGGAAGTTTTAGAAATGTTATGTTTGATGATATCAAAGAATTTGGATTATAAATTTTACTTGATTAATTAAATTTGTATAGAAACTAATTATTATTGTTATCAAATTGATACGATGTGAATATTAGTTCACTCATGTTGTAACAAACGTAAGTATGTAAAGAAGCAAATGTCAAGGTTACATTTTTTTAAGGAAAGCGGAAAAATTGCACTTATTCAAAGGGTTTTTACAATCTGTGAAGCAGCTTTAAATATCCCATCCCACCCTGGAAGAGGAGTATCGTTTAGTGTTTGGTTTGATAAATTAGTAGATTACAACTTTGGGCCTGCTGTTAACAGTAAGATTTTAATGCCATATGTATGACAAACTGAATTTACGGCTAGTAGGTTCTCTTGGGGATGTGACTGTATATTTTATATTGATAAATTGATTGGTTTATGAAATAAAATTACTTTAAATCAACATCCAACTGTGGTAGGTGTTAAATCATTAATCGACAACTAATTAAAAAAAAATTTTCTTTCAAAATAAAAATGCATATTCTTTTTTTGCAAATTAAAGCCATTACTAATATTTCTTATTTTATTATTACATTTCGTAAAATAAAAAAAAAACAAAAATGCATTCAAATTGTCTTTAGTGCCCGAGGTCAATATTGGTATGTGAAGCAACTTTTATACATGTACGAATTGTGCTAACTTGATTTTTTTTCAATTTTAGCTTTGAAATTAATTATGCGTAATAATAATGCACACTAATATTATTAGCAAAATAATACAATTGAGCTGTCTTTAGTGTCTGAGTTTGAAATAACATAGGCTAATCAATATTTATTGGTACGTAGAATGATTTTTACATAGCACATAAGACAGGATTTGGTATATATTTTCGTAAGTTTTAATTTTGAATCAATCACTTAGTGGTCATGATGAAGTTGGTTGTTCTTTAAATAATGCAATTTTTATTTTTCAATTTTTCAAGATTTATATTTAATTCTTCATCAATTAATCCTGTTGGAGATAAATTATTATCATCGTTATCACAAGAAAGAAAGGGATTTGTATATAAAATTTATAATGAAACAGAGAATAATGCAATAGTTAATTCTGATAAAGAAAGTAGAAAATATTTTTTTTTTTCATTAGTTGAAAAAAACAAGGAGCTTTCTGAAAATGAAAAAGAATTTTGTAAGGAAAAGTTTATTTATTGGTTTGAATTAAATAATGCACATATAAATTGGGCAAACCAAAAGAATGTAAGAGCTGTAAATTGACAAAATATTCTGATAGATTCTGTGAAGGTTGTATTAGTTTACAATTACAGAGTCTTTTCACTACTTGGACTTCTGGAAATAACATAATTGATGATTTTATTCAACAATGTCAAATGAAATCATCTCTGCCAAACTATATTTTAGAATGGATACCTTTGAGCAATTTGAAAAGGTAAAAAAGTTGACTGAAGGTGATTTAGTTCAATTTATAAGGCTACATGGACAAGAGGAAGTATTGATGATTATAATGAAAATAAAAAGGAATTTAATTATTTTAGAAGGCAAAATGTAGTATTAAAAAGTTTAAATGATTCAAATAATCCAGGAAAAGGGTTTTTTAACGAGGCTGGTAGTTGTCATTTAAATCAAAATAAATAATACTGTATAATACTAATTGATCTATATTTATTTTTAGGCAGTGAATTTGCTATGGTATAACTAAATTCCCAGATAATGGAAATTATGCAATAGTTTTAAATTATTTATCAGATGGAAATTTAAGAGGTTATTTACAAAAAAATCATTTAAATTTAACACTAAAAGACAGAGAAAGATTTAATCCATTGTGATTTACATCAGTGTAGGAAATTGAGTGCACGGGATTGTGTTACATTAAAGGTAGCCAATAATCTATTAGCAGGATTTGTGCAGAAAATTCGTTGAAAAAAAAATATAAATATAAATTATTTATACCTGAAATATCTGATTTATTATTATTATCAAAATAAACATACTTTTATTGATGTTTTTAGTATAAATAACTCTACCTTTATTGATAACCAAAAATAAATGTACTGTTATTTATTATATTAGAATAATTCCATTTTTTGTTAACAATAAATCATTGATGTTTTCAGGTATAATTCTATTTTTATTGTTAACCAAAAATAAACAAATATACTTTTATTTATTATATAAGATATTTTCAAACTCAATATTTCAAGTTAATCAAATTAATGAAAAATCCAAAAAACAATTTTTTATTGATATTAATTCATTTAAAAATGATTAATCAACAAAATCATTGTAAAAAAAAACTGTTAACAGAAATTGGTTTTATGGTTAGAAAGTGAAGAAAATGAAGATACAAACAAATTTTTTGTAGAAGTAGAAATGGAAGTACAAAATTTGCACTAGGTACAACAGATTTAAGTCTAGAAAGAATTAAAAGACATTTAAAAACCAGTGAACATGAAGCATCAGAATCACAGTTTCTAAA